TCCAGACCTGGAACCAGGATGGGTTACCAGTCCCCCATCCTGGAACCAGGTCTGGGAGACGAGCTCGTTGGAAAGTGCCTGGTATCTGGGCCTCTACCCATGGTGCCTTGTCAGGATCAGCCCGAATAAGTTGCATGGGTTCATCTTCCTGTGGGCCCACCTGCAGGAGGGGCCATACGGGTTAGGTGAAATGCGATATGGATAGCAGCCAGAGGTGGGAGCCTTGGCACTCTGATCCTAACTGGCTATTGGGACATGGACTGTCACCTCTCTGGTGGAGAAGGAGCCTGAGCTTGTGCACAATGTCATTGTCGAGGTACAGACTAGATATAGTCTGGCAGAACGACGGCTCAGTGGTTAGGACTGTTGTCTCACAGCAAGAAGGTCCTGGGTTCAATCCCTGGTTGGACCTGGGGTCTTTCTGTGTGGAGTTTGCATGTTCTTCTCGTGCTTGTGTGGGTTTTCTCCGGGGACTCCGGTTTCCTCCCACAGAACAAAAACATGCATGTTAGTCTGCCTTCAGGTCCAGGCCTCCCTTGCAAAAGAGATCTGTGATCTCAATGGGATTGGCCTGGTTAAATAAAGGTTGATAAATAAATAAATAAAATAAATATATAGTCTATCTCACCTCATTGTATAGCAGGTTCTGGAACCAATCTCTCTGAGAAAGGCTGGACCTTATTCCACTCCGGAGTTGTCTGTGGTGAGAGGCGTCGGGCTGGTGTGGACCTAATTACAACCCCCCAGCTTGGCACCTGTGTGCTGGGAGTTTTGCCAGTAGATGACAGGCTCTAACTGTTGTTCATACCTGTGGGCTGAACAGCAGTTCAAAGTACCAGCATTCTTTGAGTCTTTAGGTGCTGGTGCCTTTCATGGCAGCCATCCTCAAACCCAGGGATGGACATCTCAGGTGAGCAAGACCGTCAAGCTGAAGAAGTAGTCATGGTGGACCTTGTTAGCAGGTAGGACTACAGAGGCAGCTGACGGGTACCGGCAGGTCAATCGGGCTATAGTCCTCTCTGTTGTTAAGACAGAGGCTTGAATGTGTAATTTGTTGAGGCCTTTGACATAGACACTCAACTGACTCCAAAAAGATTCTGGCAAGTTATAAGTTGGCTGAGGTGGGAAAAGCAGCACTTTAGCAACATTATGTTTGTTACTACACTTATGTATGGTCAGGAACTTTGAGTAGTGACAGAAAGAATGAGATCACAGGTACAGGTGATTAAAATGAGTTTCCTTCAAGGAGTAACTGACTTCACCTTCCTGTGTTCAGTTATCTGGAAGAGACTTTGGAGTAGAGTTGCTGCTCCTCCACTTTAAGAGGAACCAGTTGAGGTGGTTCAAGCATCTGGTAAGGATGTCTCCTGGACACCTTGTTAGGGAGGTGTTGTGTGCATGTCCAACTGGGAGGAGACCCCAGGAAAAACCCAGGATGCACTGGAGAGACTATGCCTCTTGGCTGGCATGGGAACATCTTGGAGTCCTAGAAGAACTGGAAGACGTGGCTGTGAAGACAGATGTCTGGACCTTCCCTGCTCAAGCTGCTGCCCCTGGAAACCTGACTTCAAAACAAGTGGCAGATAATGTATAATGAATAAATAAATAAAAATGAATTAAATACATGTTTTTTTTTTTGTTTTTTTTTAGAGCCAGTTATCTGTGCAGTGTGATGACAGCCTTTACCTTTACTCAAGGAGCTCCATCATCTCCAACCCGAAGCTCACCACCTCCTTTAATGCCAAGGATGTAGTTTACCAGTCCAGCAAAGTCAGTTCCTACCATAGTCGTCCATCATCAGAGATAACGTACCGGAGTCCAGATGAGGCATTTCATAGAAAGCAGTCAACATGTTCGCTGGTAGCTTTGAGAGATCCGGGTGTCTACAAAACCTTCCAGGACCCTGTCAAGAAAACGTACAGTGGAGATTTGCTTCAAAAACATTCACGCCTCTTTACTCAGGAGAAACCATTCACGCCCAAGACCCTGAAATCAGATAAGAGTTCATATCTGGCTAAATATCGCTTCTACAGAGCACCACAAGGAAAAGCTTCACATGATGGCAGCACCTCCAGACACGTGCAACAGGACACAAGTGAGATAAGGTACTCAGTCACTGTGGAACTGAAACGTCCAAGTAAAACTATGGAGCGTCTTTAATAAAAATGAGTTTTGTATTTTGTGCACCAGTATGTTAAATTATTAAGACGTTTTATTATTTATTTGTTTGATTCAGCACAATAACTAAAGAACATTCACAGCAATCTGAGGTAAGTTAAGGGATTTCATTTTCAAGACAATGTTTAGACCCAGTAATACTTTTGACTTGTTTTTGTGATCCCCTTTCCTATATATATATATATATATATAAATGAATAGCTATCATCGGAAGAGCGCCGCACAGGGAAAG